TAACTTTTTTCACTCTCAACAATCTTGAATTAGACATGATTATTGATTAAATAAATCTTCACTGTATCTTGCAATTCTACTTTACCCTTGAAGATTAGTCTGATGGATAACTCAAGCCGATCAGGATCCCACAATGTAGTTCTTGTTCATTGTTAAAGGCAGACAGTTGGGGAAGTTCATTGTTGGTGAAGAAGGCGGACAATAGCTGATACATACGAATAGTGTCTTCCACTACAACTAATGGGCCCGTTTCATCACCATCATCGTTAATATTTTCTACATCGTCCAACAATTTTATCTCCTCATCCTCATCATTTGTGTCTTCCGCATGATCAACTATACGTATTTTGTTGTCCGCCAACACATCACCGTCAGACTGAACCAAATGTTGAATGACATCGTTCCTTGTTTCAGTCTGAGTATGGTTGCCAACATTTGAAGAAGATGTGATGTATCCCACAGACATCGTCGTCTGCATACTAGGCCCTATATGTAATTCTAGCATATAAGACTCGACCTCTAGAATCTCATGCCCTGAATTAAACTTTGCTACAAAAGCAACGTCTGCCATAAAACCATGCACATATTGATTATCCCTTCAACATAATAACAATTTACTAGCGTAGGCAAAATGGGACACAAATTCATGCTCTTTTATATAAGTAATTGGATATATATGTCATACTCATTCACTATTGTCTAATGAAACTGTTGGATTTGCTTCACCAATATTTACAAGTCAATATTATTTAGTACTTGGTTCTCAAAGATAGCATCCAACATCGCCATCACACTGTCATCATTTTTTATTTCAAATTCTAAGTACTATTGCATGCGATCCCCAAAAAAGATAGAAATCGAAAATTAGCTTTAGTTGTGATGTTGAACTGTCCAGCTGCATTATCGTATAGATAGTTCTCAACAATTCCTTATATGTCGTTATGTGTTTTAATTTTATACAATGCTAAGACTTTTCATTGTACGATAAACAACCTTCATGGTATATAATATTACCTCCCCAATACCACATTACTGTGGTGTGTCTCCTCGTTCTTTTATACCGTCAATGTAAAATATAATATCAAATAATTTCCCTTTCATCATGTTGAGTTTGGTTTGCATGACATATTTTATTTTTTAAACCTATTAAGATACTTTGAAAGTGAAAACATAAAAGTTTACTCACTAAATTTCCTAAATTGTAAGGACCTCAGAGCTACTATGTTTAATACGCACGAAAACTCTAATCCTACACATCTTAATCTTACAGTCAAATGCGTACAATATATATAACTTTGGATGTGCACAAACTTTCCAGTTAGACGTTGTCCCAATTCATTTGCAACTTGATGCTTTCTACATATTCTACGACAATCATTTGCATCATACAATTTATGTGAGTGTTTGGGTTTATTTACCTAGAATGCTAGCAATTGAGGTTATTCACTTGGGATTTTGATGAATCCTTGTCTTCTTTCCCCCCCCCCCCTTTTTAACTTTCATGACCACATCCAATATTATATAATAAATTGACCAAATAACATAATTTCACCTCTAGTGGTTTCACAAACATCAAAAACCTAGTTAGTCTCTTAAAATCTAATAAAAAAAATACAAAATGCATAGTATTTTAGTGTTGTTTTCCTTCCTATGGATTTATCGATACTTATTTTAGGATTAAGAGGGAGGAAGCCAAAATTGCTGCATGGGAGAACCTGCAGAAGGCAAAAGCTGAGGCAGCGATATGGAAACTAGAGGTTAATTTTTGATTGTATAATTTGAAATCTTTAATTACAAAGTTTGCAAGGGCTCAACCCTTAGGAAATGATCCATGTTTTCATTGCAGTATTACAAGTTAAAATATGTTTGTCTATTTCTATAAACAATAGCCTAGACAGGAATTAATCCAATTGGAGCATTTAGTATTGTTGAAACATGATCTTTTGTAAGCTCCATTAATCTACTTCTAGCCAGAGTTATATTTATGAAATCAGTGCTGATGAAAAATGATCTTAAATGCATGAGGTATCTTACGTAGTTCGGATATGTATCAAGTAAGACTAGGAATCAATCACGTTGGAGCATTTTGCATTTGTTAGTATGACCATACTGACGTAAAATATGTGCTTCAGATGAAACTGGAAAAGAAGAGATCCTCATCCATGGATAAGATTATGAAGGTCTTCTCAAGCTACTAAAGGTCCTCTCAATTAACGTTCCGCATGGATAAAAACTCTCTTTAACCTAGCTTACAACCTTCATATGAACACACCTATGTTTTTGTACAGTATCTTTGGCATTGGTCGAGTCATTTGCATTTAGTATGATCACAGCTACAATTTTATGTACTATCCCTGGCAATAGCTGACTATTGCAGCTACATGTAAAATAACGTGTCCAAAAAAATATATATAAAATTGTATTCATACTTCATGTACGATAAATAAAATTCAGAATATATTGCATGTATTCAAAATGATTTCATAATTCATATATTCAAACTATAACTCATAATACCTTCACACTGTAAATTTTTGAAGTAAGGATGCAATTCAAATTACTCAACCAAGCAACACTTTGAGAAGCAGTAATGGGGATTGAAAGATTTCTAAAATTAGGGATTTTCTAAATTACACAGTAATTCAGAAACAAGCAGTGGTGATTAGAAAATTTCTCAGATTGGGAATTTTTTGGTTGTGTAATTCAGAAATGGGCAATGGGGAATGGAAAATTTCTAAGATTGTGGATTTTATGAATTACAAAGGGAAGAGTAGCATACCTAGTTAAATAGAAGGCCTTCTATTTATCATGTGAAGCCCAATCTTCTCGTTGCTTTAGACCTAGCCTACGAGTGTGTACCAGTCAACTATCGAATTTGACAAATCAATGCCTAGGCTAGGGCCTAATATGAGTCTCATAAGTGGAATTAGAGCACAGACGAACCTCAGGCGAATCTCATAGCCGAATCTCGTAGAAGACTTCAGTTGTCTTCTTCGAACAAGGTTAGGGCTACGATTTGGATTGCTCAGTTAGGGGTGTGTGTTTTAAGGGCTCAGCTTAGGGGATGGAAAACAAAGAGAATAGGGTAGACAAAAGAAGTAGTGAAGAGAGAAGAGAGCAGAGAGAAGGCAAACGCACAAAATAACAAAAAGGGGACCAGGAGGGTTTTCAAATATTGGATTAAAAGCAGATTCATTATATCCGCTTCATTAGATAAAACGAACTTGGAGAACCAGCTTTTTACTTTGAAAGCGAATTTTTCGAGTACACTTACTCAAATGAAAGCGAATTGCACAAATACGCTTTAAAATGTTGATGGCCTCAAAAAGCGGATTTGTTGATGTCTCTTTCTATTGAAGTCGTACTTATTGATTCCACTTTTAAAAAATGTCGTAAATTGATAAATAAATTGAAAACAATAATAAATCAATAATTAAGTTTAAAAACTGTTGTACTTTGGTAATAAATTCCAATATTTCGAGCCATAAAATTTGTGATGGACATGGGATTCTTTGCACTAGTGTAAGAAGGGGACTCCGTAGGAAGTTGTGAAAACTATTACAGTTAAGAATGGACTTAATTTGAATATCTAATTAATTTATTTCAGTTATTAGATTAGTTATGAGTTCTAAAATTAGGTACAGTTTCACTTTCAATTTAACAACTACAATTAATTTGGTCTTCAGATTAGATTCCTAGTACATATTTCATGCAACAGTGATAACTCGTTAGTATTGTTACGTGATATCATCATTCAATAATAAAATACTATTTCTCGGTATCATGGACACGGAATTTTGAAAATGTTGCGCCTCCTTTTGTGTTGGCTAAATGTGGTATTATATGTTTTTAACCATCTATTTTGAGTGATAAGCTCATTTGTTTTTGTAAACTTCCCCTGAAGGCTGATGTTTATTAGTAGTGATGAATAATAATATCTTTATCAGTTATCGTTAGATTCAATGGCGTGGATGTATAGATGACATGCACAAAGCCTTCAGACCGTTGGTTCTAACAAGTGAAATGAACCGAATGAGTTAAAAAGTTTAGCTATTACTTAAAATCAGAGTCAAAATTTAAGCACGTGATGTTTACACTTATATTAATGACTCTTTTTTTTTTTTTGGACCTTCCAAGAAAAATACTTTTCTAATCTTTTTGCATACTTTTGCCTCTTTTGGATTGTGGAGAAATTTACCAAAAGTAGAAGAAAAGAAATTGTGTCGTGCCTCTGAATTTTATAAAATTTTCATTTGTTTACAATAAAAAAAAAATTATAATGGTTTAAGTCATGTTATAATTTTGGGATTCTAAGTAATCGTAACTTTTAGAGATGAAACTATATAGTTTTTGGAATACTTAGAATCAATTCTAAAATTGTTAGAATGGATACTATCCAAGTGACCTAAAATGTTTAAAATACCTCAGAATTTAAAAAAAACAATCAGAAATACATAAATAACGGAACCATATCGAATTGTTTTGATAGCATAAGTCTCTGAATAATATTATTTAAATTTAAAAATTTGAACTAATTTAATGACATAATTATGTGGTTTCAATATAACCGTTAAATCAATAACAAATTTTAATGTTTGCTTTGAACTAATTTAATAACATAATTATGTGGTTTCAATATAATCGTTAAATCAATAATAAATTCTAATGTTTGCTAAACTCTACTATAAATCCAAAGATCATAGTTGCACGGTCAATTCAAAATCAGTAAATTAAGTCTAATGTTTTCTCCTTAAATTGCCTAAGAAAATTGTTCAAAAACGTTGCATAAGATGTGCTCAAACAACCAGTGATTGCATTATTTCTTCAGACACACACATACGAGAACGATAGAGAGAGAGAGAGAAAGAGAGTTGTTCGATTCTCCACACCTCAAAAATTTTGAAGACTCTTAAAACTACTAATTAAGGGAGGATGAGTACATAAAAAGAAGAAAATGCTAACACGCAGATTGATCCATCTTCAAGATCCGGATGGTCTACCGGTCGGCTGAGTCTTAGCCGGCGCCGGTGAAGAAGCATCTTGGTTTGTTGTTGTTGTCGTCGTCGTCTTTTGAACATGATGAGTGACAGAAGAAGTTGACCCACTTTTACCAGTGTCACCGGAGATGACGACACCATGTTGGCCAAAGTCAGAGGCTTTTGGTGGGTCATCTCCGGTGATTATCTCCGGCGGGAGGACCAGGGAGGCCTGACGACGATGACGAGACATTTGTACGCTGTTCTTTTTTGGTTCTTAGAGAGAGAAAGCAGGTGGGTGCTAGAGAGAGAATGGTCTAAGATTCATGGCCAGATTAGTGTGGTGTGGGCTTTAAAAGAGTGCGCAGTCTGTCGCCTATCCTCTTCCCTCCCTTATGTTTTCTGAGTAATGTTTTGATTCCTAAATTGATTGTATCACACACCACACGTTTAGGAAAAAATCGATTTAGGGGTCCACATGATGCGGTGAGTCGTTACATTGGAGATGAATTTTTTGAGATACAATTTGAGAATTATATCAATATTTTATTTTTACTTACCGGGCTAATCCCACTTTTCAACATACTTTAACTTTTATTTTATTTATTTATTAATTTTTTTTTTTGGGGTGGGAGACGGAGAGGATAAAAGGGGGCTTAAACTCTTGATCTCAAGAAGTTAAAGTCTTCGCAAGGTAAAGAGTATTATTGGACCAAAGGTCGATTGGTTAATTTTTAATTTACACCCTTCAAGAATTAGATTCTCAAAATTGCACCCCCAATGTTATAAATAAATACAATGTGACTTTATTTCAAGCTTAAATTGTATCCTCAATCTTAAATTTTACCCTCAAATTAGGCTCCATCACATTAAAGTTAAATTTTTTCATAGTGCAAATTGAGAATTAGAGCATTTTGCTGATTGCAAATTTAGATTTACTCTTACTTTTTTACAGATTATCTATAATTAATAAGCAAAAAATAATTGTATATAATAAAATTTTATTTAAATAATATATAATTTATTAAAATATTATATTAAAGGAAATCTCATTTTACTTATGACCAGGGCCGGTCTTCGGCTAGACAATCAAAGCCGTCACCTAAGGGTCCATATTTTTTAAGGTCTCAATTTTTTAAAAAAAATTTAGATTTACTTAGTTTTAAATTATTTGGAAAAATTTCAACCACACCCCTTCTAGTTTACCATATCTTCAAGGACACCTCCTCTAGTTTCTTAATCTTCAACGACACCCCTTGTCAAATTAAAAATATTAAATAGAATGCAATTTTACTAAATTACTCATAATATATTTAAGGACATACTTCATTCACACTCGCTCTAGATAAACATATCTTTAATGAGACTCCCTTTAGATAAGTGTATTTTCAATGATACTCCTTCTGTTTTCTAATTTTTTTTACGTAATTAAATTTGAACTGATTAAAATTCGATTCAAGCTAATTAAAATTTATATTTTTTTTATGTATTAGAATTTGAGCTAATTAAAATTTTGTTTGAGCCAATTAAAAATTATTTTTAATCGACTCAAATCAAATTTTAATTAATTCGCATTGAATTTTAATCGACCTAAATTTTAATATATAAAAATATATGAATTTTAATTAACTTAAATTTTAATAAATATAATTTTAATTGACACAAATTTTAATAAGTAAAAAAATATAAATTTTAATCTACTCGAAAGAGAATTTTAATCGGTGCTAACAACTCGAGTAGAATTCAAATCGATTCAAATTTTAATATGTAAAAAAAATTTAATAGGCTCGATTTTTTTTAAAATTTACGAATTAGTAAATAAAAAATTAGTATTTACTAACAAATTATTTACTAAAATTGTTATTTATGATTTTTTTTAAAAATTTTAACAGCTAAAATTTTAATAAAATTTTATGTAAAAAAATTACTTTGAGGTTATGTAGGGGCATTTTTGATATTTTAGATGAGTTTTTTTTGTTAGAAATAGTAGTTTAATGGTAGGGGTGTCAGTGATGTTTAAATTAAACTAGAAGGGGTGTCATTGAAAATTTAAAAACTAGAGGGTGTGTCCTTGAAGATGTGATAAATTAGAGGGGGTGTCGTTGAAATTTTCCCTATTTATTTTCAAGGCCCTAAATAAAATTTTTAAATCAATGTTTAATTAAATTAAATTTTATTTGTTTGGCCCCTAAATGTTGTCTATAGACGTGAGTTCAATGAAATCAAGTTTTATTTTTACGAGTTTAATAATATGAGATTCACTATATTAACCATAATACTATGTTACATATCATGTATAACAAAACTATGTAATTGTTTCTTTTGTAAATTATTTTCAACTATTTTGATAAACTTGAAAAGTATGTATTTTAATTTTTCTTTTTAAATTTTGATGCTCTTTTGATTAGTTGAATTTATTTAAATTTAAATTGAGTTTACTAATAGTGTATTTATATTGTAATGACATCATAAACATTATTAGAATGTGTATTGAACTTCAAATATATGCGTTTACTATTTTGTTGACTATTAGTCCTTTAATGAATTTTATAAATCTAATTATATGCCAAAGAATTTGAATATAGAAATTTAAATAGTAAGTTAGCATCTCAAATAACAAAATAATTATTCTTAAATAAATATATTTTAACATTTTAATAAAAAATTAAAAAATATTTAATATTATCATAATAATTACAATTAATGAGATTTCATTCAAAAAATTCACTTAGGGTCTCCGTTTGGTTCGGGTTGGCCCTGATGAGTGTTCATATTATACTAAATATAATTCATTAAGCATAATCTATTATATAATATTGATTTATACTAAATAAGTGGTGTGACATGAAACTTCAATATCGGATTGATACTAATAAAGTGTCTTCCTTAACTTTTTCTCTAATTTTATCTATGTAATTTGAAGATTGCAATTTGTTCGACCAATTAGTGTAAAAAAGGTGACATCTTATATTTATATTTATTAGTTATTATTGTGTTCAACCTTTTTTTATCGAATTAGCATAATGTATTGAATATTCGAATTTTAAATATGGTGCATATGGATGCTAGTCTATCTATAATATATATATATATATATATATATATATATATATATATATATATATATATATATATATATATGTATAATCAATTTTTGAGAGAGGGGATCTAAAAACTAAAAAGTTATTACTCCCACTTTTGGTCAATATATCTACTTATTTTTTTATACTAATTAATAAATATAAGTGTTAATCGAACTGAGTTTTGCTAGTTTGAACTCGAATTTGGCGAGCTTATTTTTTAAACAAGTTTAAAAAATTGTTCAAATTTGGTTCATTTTAAACTAGAGTCAAATCAGAGATCGAACCGAACCTGAGTCGAGTCCGAATAACTCAACCATTTTAAATATAAAAGTGTCCAGTTTTACGAACTTAAACTCAGACTTTTAGGCTCGTTATTTTAAACGAGCCTAATAAATTATTCAAATTCAATTGGTTTAGATCACTAGTCGAGGGCGAGCTCAATTTTATTTGAGCCGAGACAGAATAACTCATCTTAATTAACACCACTATTAACAACCTCTCATTCAAATTTAAAAAAAAAAAAAAATAATTTTAATCCCTTATAGACAGTAATAATTCTTTAATTACCCATATTATATAAAAAAAAAAAATCCGCAAGAGTGAGAAGAAACGTACAATAATAAGATATGTAATAAATTATGTTCATCACATGGAACGAGCGCGGGTATAACAATAAATGAATGAATGTCAGGAATTAAGGATAAGCATGCCATGAGGTGAGGGGCACGACAAAACCACTCTCTTCATCTGTCATTTTCGCTTTTCTCTGCATTTGTAAATCGAAATAAAAAGAAAGTGGAGTAAATTACGTGACCACCCTTTACTCTTTTTCTTTTATTTGTTTTGCAATTTTATTTTGGTTTGTTTGAGTTTCTGTTTGATGGGATTATCTCTCTTGGTCAACGGTGAATTGACTGTTAATAGAAAACCTATCTCCCCAACACCAACACCCACACCTCTTCGACCCAACCACCACCGAATGTTGGTGGTGGGTGGGTGGGTGGCCAATTGAGCCATGTCGCATGGTGTTGAATTCTTGATGTCTCAAAGTTAGGTCGTATTAAAATTTATTTGGTTCATAACTAGCTCATTAACATTCATGTAGAATTAGACTAGCAACAGTCCTGTGCACGAAATTTATATCTCGTTACCTTCTGTTATCTCTTTCACTCTCTTCTCCTTTCTCTTGTACAACTATTTAGGTAGTATAGTAATTAGACAATAATTATAAATAATTGAAGGATAGAAAGTAATTTTTTAATAAATATAAATGAAGAGTTATGAGTTTGTGGAATAGTAATATGTAATTGGATTGAATGCATTAAAATAAATAAAAATTTAAAAAATTCAGAGAATATGGATGGAACCACTCCCCAAGTCTCTCACACCTAATTTATTTGCTATTTAATATAGTGTAAATGTGTGTCCTTCTTATATATAAGTCATATAAAACTTTCTATAATAAGTTGGTGACATGTGAAATAAGGTTTGTATTAATTAATTTATTTGACAAGTTTAAAAGATTTATTTATTTACTATTCAAATCTACTAAATTTCTAATTTCACATCGTTCTTGTATCAAGTTCGTAAAACATTTGTATTCATAATTTTTTTTTTTTTTTGGGAAAGTCTACGGTATGATATCCAAAATTATTGTTTTTTAAGACTAAGTTATAATTTTTTTGAAATGTAAGTTACAATTTATAAATGACTTAATTGATTATAAAAAATACAACTTTTAAATGTTCCGTTACAACGCATGAGTGAGAAATTACAACTGATTAGTGAAAGCTTATGGTCGATTATGGGTATCTGTAATCGATCATGGGCTTATCTCGATCAATTATAATTTTTCTTTTTAAATATATAATTTTTACCATATATAAAAAATAATTCAGGACCGTAGACTTTTCTTCTTTTTCGTGTCTGAAAAAAAAAAAAGGAATGGCATTTAGTGCAGTTTGTTGCCCACAAAAATGACACGCATTCAAGACCCACACCCCTCCCCCTCCCCCTCCCCTCCGTCCCTCCTCCTCCTCCTCTTCCTCTTCCTCTTCCTCTTCCTCCTCCTCCTCCTTGTTTTTGGAGCATAGCGGGTCAATAATGGTTGTTTGGTACGAAAAAGTAAGATGCTTGGAATTATTCTACGACCAATGCTATAAAATTTTAA